TTATTCAACCAATCAGTCCATCTATCTACATATCCATTTATCCATCTATCTACGTATGTATATCCATTTATCCATCCATATACCTATGTATCCATTCATCTATCCATTTATCCATCCATCCATCTACCTATGCATCTATCCACTTATCTACTCATTTATTCATTCATTCATCCATCTACCTATGCATGCATCCATCCATTCATTCATCTACCTATCCATCCAACCATCCATCCATCTACCTATGCATCCATCCAACCTTCATTTTTCAGTTTTATTAAATGACTTTCCCTCTCTCTTAAAATTCAACTTCAGTGTAACTTCTGACTTTGAAAGTCTCCTGTCAGAAGGGCTAAGTTCTAGGGTGGTTCTCATTATGCATTTATTCTATTATGAACATAAAATCTCTGATGTTAAATTTGTAGTAGGATTGGCATTACCAGCCTGATAGATAAGCAGGTAAATAACAGGTCCCTTTAACCCCCGCCCCCCCCCCCCACACACACACCCTGCATACTGGCCAGGTGCAAGTATTGTGGTAATAATGCAGACTAATGTAAAACATAATTTACCATCCAAAGATTTATGTTGAGATTCTGCTTGCTTTGTAACATGTTTGCCTTTATTTTTTAATTAAAATGAAGCATTGGAGAGATTCAGACTTTGTCTGTGTGCTTAATACTAAGCTTAACTCGCATTCTAAAAATCTTGCCTGCTGGCCACTGTAACTCATCTCTTGAAGACCCCTAGCAGATAGCAGGGAATGTGGAAATATTTTCATCCTTCACATGAGCTGCAATGAACTCAAAGGAAATCAAAATCAGCCTCAGAATTTTTTTTTTTTTTTTTGCCTGCATTCTGCAGAAAGATTCCTCCAAAAGTTAATCTTCATCATATGCCAACAGTAACCAATACTCCTGGATCTGATTGAAATTGGCAACATACAAAAAATTCTAGTGAGCTTACAACTTTAAGAAAAGTAAAAAATAAAGCCCACTTCTTCAGTGAGCTTTATTCTTATTCCTGAGCCATTATACAAAACAGCAGGGAAACCAGCCTAGATACATGATTTGTTTTAGCTCTAATGATAACAGCTGCCATTTGTTGAAGGTTTGCTATGGATTGGGAATTTAATTTAAATGCCTTATGTCTACCATGTCATTTAATTATTAATTTATTCTTATAGCATATTGACTACCATATCAATAAATCAGAGTATGTGAGGTAGGTATTATTTTTCTTACTTTATAAATGATAAAACTAAATCTTAAATCAAGTCACTTGCCCAAGGTCAAATAGTTGGTGATCTGAGAAGCAGAAGTTCACATCTTTATCTCATTTCACAGTCTGCACCTTGAATCACTGTACTAGACAGCCACCTGTGAATTCAGTCTGCCTGGGTTATCTCGGGGTTAACTGGGCTGAAGTAACGGTTCACACCACCGAAAAAAGGCTGCAATGGCCGAAAAGGAGCACGTGTCAGGCAAAGCGCTGTTTGATTTCCAGCTGAAAACACCTGTCGTTTTCTTCCTTCCTTTTTTCTTTCTTACTTTTCTCTTTCTTTCCTTTCTTTCTCTCCTTCTTTCTCTGTCCCCCTTGGCTTCCTTCCTCTCTTTTCTTCTTCTTTCTTTCTCTCTTTCCTTTTCTTTCTTTCTCTTTCCCTTCCCTTTCCTTCCTTCCTCTCTCTCCTTCCTTCCTCCCTCCCTCTTTCTTTCTTTCTTTGTTATTATAAATAGAATTACTTATAAGGTGATCTCATATCCTTGTTTCCGATACAGCCTTATGAAGAGGTTCCCAGCTGAAGACATTGGAAGGCAGCTGGCTGGTAGCCTTCCTTCTTTCTTTCCAGTAGTATTTTTAGTGTCATGAAGTAATAAAGTAAAACAGTGGTCCCAACACTGACCACACATTTAGAATCACTCAGAAAAAAATCACTTATTTTTTAAATGTCCAAGAGATTCTGACTTCATTGGTCTGGGATGGGACCCGACCATCAGTGTCGTCTGTAAGATCCTGACATAGAATGAAGCCAGGTGGAGAATCAGGGATGTGGCCACACAGAGAGGACTTTGGGAATAGAATCAGGACGACGCAAACTCCGATGCAGAGTCCAGGTCTCCAGCCCCTCCTGGCCTTCCCCTGAGCCCCTCTCTCTCACTTCTTTCTGTTTGCAGACCCTGTGATGACGGTGCCTGTAGAAATCTTCTGTGGTCATGGAGATGGCTGTGCCATTTCCTGCACATCATGAATGAGTCACCAGCCCCTAAAGAGCATCTTAGACCAACAGTATCCATGTGGTAACTGCCTCAGGATGTGTACAACTCTCTTAGCTGATCCTTTGGTCAGCTCCCAGGCTACAATCTGGTTCGCCGATTATGTCTTATTCGAAAGAAAAGAGATTCAGAGTACCTACTGGTAGTCATTAGTTCTGCAGATAATATGGTAAAAACTACAAGACTGGCCAGGCGTGGTGGCTCAAGCCTGTAATCCCAGCACTTTGGGAGGCCGAGGCGGGTGGATCACAAGGTCGAGAGATCGAGACCATCCTGGTCAACATGGTGAAACCCCGTCTCTACTAAAAATACAAAAAATTAGCTGGGCATGGTGGCGCGTGCCTGTAATCCCAGCTACTCGGGAGGCTGAGGCAGGAGAATTGCCTGAACCCGGGAGGCCGAGGTTGCGGTGAGCCAGGATTGCGCCATTGCACTCCAGCCCGGGTAACAAAAGCAAAACTCCGTCTCAAAAAAAGAAAAACAACAACAACAAAAAAAAAAAAACTACAAGACTAACAACCACTGTCTCATTAGCAGCAGTCCTCCCCTCCCAGGGCTCGGGAGGGGACTAGGTTTTCCAGGGGTAAAAAGATGTTTCCCTACCCCACTCACCTGAGTCATTTTGAACCCTGGGGTGTGCAGGGACTAAGACGCAACCAGAGATCATGATCGTTCTGGCACGGTTAGGACTTGCTCAGTTCGCCGGAGGGGGCTTTGGAGCCGGGAGATACTCTCAGTGTCCCCTCCTGCCAGGCACATCAACAGCTCTCCTAGAGATCATCTCCAACCCACCCTAGATCGGATAAGGGCACCGGCTGGATGCAATGGGAGCACTCCCAGGCAATGCGGAAGTTAGTCTGGTAACAGCCAGATGAGGAAACACGATAGCCCTATGTTCAGATCTTAAGGCCTAGTTCAGGTCCGGTTTCTGCACCAAGCCTGGGATACGCACTCGTCCCAGCTTTCTTGATCTTTTCAGAGCTTCAGCTAAGATACCAAGTCCACCTTTTGATTCTAAGTTGTATATAGGGTTTACTTGCTATTAGGCCTGGGGAGAGGGAAGGAGGTGTAATCTGGCTTATGTTACAAAACACATCAAATCTGGTACAAGTCTTTCCCTCTTGCAGACTTCACGGGGTAAGAAACTAGTTTAACCACAAAAAGCCGGCACTAGAGGCTTTGTCTCAGGTTCAGTTTGTGTAAACAAGATAGTCCCAAAGACAAAAAAAAAAAAAAAAAAGAACTTTTTAATAGGAGGAAAAAAAAGACGGTTACATTTCTTAAGTGAGTCAAACCGTATATAATCTAAAAATGAAATACAGGCCCAGGCTTGAGGGTCACTTAGCAAATCTTTATGCAAATAACAAATGATCTCATGTAACTCACTCAGAAACAGAGTGGAACCAAATAGTTCATTTTTAGAAAATAGTTTTGTTGTTGTTGTTGTTGTTGTTTGTTTACTTTGAGATGGAGTCTTGCTCTGTCGTCCAGGCTGGAGTGCAGTGGCTAGATCTTCACTCACTGCAACCTCCACCTCCCAGGTTCAAGCAATTCTCCTGCCTCAGCCTCCTGAGTATCTGGGACTAGAGGTATGTGCCACTAGGCCCAGTTAATTTTTGTATTTTTAGTAGAGACAGAGTTTCACAGTGTTGGCCAGGATGGTCTCGATCTCCTGACCTCATGATCAGCCCACTTTGGCCAAAGTGCTGAGATTACAAGCATAAGCCACCGCACCAGGTCAGAAAATGGTTATTTTGTGACAATAACCACCTAGTGCTGGGCCAGCAAACTGCAGCACCCAGGTCAAATTCAGCCTGCCACTTGTTTTTTGCAAATAAAGTTTCATTTCAAGACAGCCATGCCCATTTGTTCACAAATTGCTTATGGCTGTTTTCAGGCTAAAATGGCAGAGTCGTAGAGTTGTGATAAAGATGTATGGGTGGGGCTCAGTGGCTCACGACGGTAATCCCAGCACTTTGCAAGGCTGAGGTGGGTGGATCATTTGAGGTCAGGAGCTTGAGACCAGCCCGGCCAACATAAGGAAACCCAACCTCTACTAAAAATACAAAAATTAGCAGGTTGTGGTGGTGGGGGCCTGTAATCCTAGCTACTTGGGAGGCTGAGGCAGGAGAATTGCTTAAACCCAGGAGGTAGAGGTTGCGGTGAGCCAAGATCACACCACTGCACTGCAGCCTGGGTGACAAGAGTGAGACTGTCTCAAAAAAACAAACAAACAAACAAACAAAAAAGTATGGCTGCAAAGCTTAAAATATTTACTACCTGGATTTTTTTTTTTTTTTTTTTTTTTTTTTTTTCAGAAAAAGTTTGCCAACCCTCGATTTAGCAGGTCAAATACTATAAAATACACCTTTTGAAACAGCCTTTGTAGAAAAATAGAGGTAATTTCCAACAAGTGATTATCGAGCACCTGAGTGTAAGTGTTGTCCTGTGAATTTCAGGAAATAAAAAGATGCATCTATTATAATCCTGCCCTTAAGAAAATTACAACATGGACACAGGGAGGGGAGCGTCACACACTGGGGTCTGTTGTGGGGGAAAGAGGGAGGGACGGGGGGTGGGGAGGTGGGAAGAGATAGCATGGGGAGAAATGACAGATACAGGTGAGGTGAAAGAAAGCAGCAAACCACACTGCCATGTGTGTACCTATGCAACAATCTTGCATGTTCTTCACTGTCGGGGACCGTCTGGGACGGGTAGGCACGTCTGCCGGGGGTCTCTCGACCTGCAAGAGGGTCCCAATACCTGGAAGAGAGAGTGCGCTTGAGCGGGAATCTGGAGGGCTGATAGGCCGTGCCTAAACAGCAAATTTTATTTTTCAAAGGCCAGGAATAAATACACTTTCTTCTGCTCTGGTTTACGTCATAGCAAGAGGAAATGCAAATGTATACCTTACATGGCCTATACAATTGAAAAGTCAGATACACAATCAGTGGTTGTAAAAAAGTAACAGAATTTCCTGTGATCACAAAGCTTGTTTACATCCAGACATTATTCCTCCTGGCTGCAGGTATCTCTGGTTTGATCTTGTTTTAGAACTGAGATGTGAAAAGGTTTTCTGGTTTTGCTCATCAGAATATCTTTTAACCGGATTCTCCTTTGTCTACTCCTGACTCAACTTAACTTCCCCATTCAGGAGTCTCTGAGTTAGAAATCAAAGCCATCCCTTATGGTGACATTTGCTTTGCAAATATCCCGACAGTTAAACCATTATCTAGGGTACAAGGCAGTCAGGTAAGTAAAGAAAAGGTTTAAGGCTTATTCTTAAAGAGAGTCATAAAAAAGTTAAAAGCAGGAACGGTTGCTGGCAGGGGGTCACTCGGTCTAGCAACACTGCATAGTTTTAGGCCCAAACGATATTGTGGTTGATATTAGAAACTGATCATCCATCTTTAAGTTCCTTTTTCCGGAGAGCTCAACTGCCTCCAGTAGGAAACTGTGTTTGGGATCAAACTCACCGTATAGTGAGACTCACGCCTTTTGGGGGTCTCACACGGGAATGTTCCCCACAATTCACATGTACCCCAAAACCTAAAATGCAATTAAAATAAATAAATGAATAAATAATAAAAAATTTTAAAAAAGAGAAAAAAAAAAAAGAAAATTACAGCCCAGCAGAAAAGAATCAGAAAAGGAGATAAACAATTTTAAAGTGTTAAGGATTGAAAAGCCACCCAAAATCTTAACTTTCTAAAAATGTGGCCCAAATCTCAGTAATTGTATAATGGTAAGAAGATTCAAAGCAAGAGAAGTTCAATAACCGGGCTGAAGTCACACAGCCGGGTAGAGAGACAGGGACTTGAATGCCTATTTTTGTTTCTTCCTTGCATACTACACCTTTTGACTTAACCATTTTATTTGTCCAACATTTACCAGGTTTTAATTTAGGATCTACGACAGGCTAGACACCCTTCCACAGGCTGTGGAGACTGCAGTAAACAAAACAGACTTCCTACCCAGACCAGCTGACTGTCTCTTTTAAGCTTTTAAGTGAGCATACAGATAAGTAGTTTGTGTAATGAAGATTTGGGCTGGGGGACCCAGAGCAGGTGAGGGTGACGGTGTCACTGGTGAGGCTGCCATTAGGTAGAGCCTGGTGGGAATGGAGGAGTCAGCCAAGAAGTTGCACAGAAAGAGCTTTAGCAGGGAAGGCCTCCAGAAGAGATGCTGGGCGTGTCAGGGGAGGGGGTGAGGGCGAGGGCTTGGGGAAAGAGGTCCTATAGAGCTTCATAGGAGATCTGAAGAACTTCGAATGAGCTACTTGGGGCATTTAAAATGGTTTCAGGCCAGGCGCGGTGGTTCACTCCTGTAATCCCAGCACTTTGGGAGGCCAAGGTGGGTGGATCATCTGAGGTCGGGAGTTTAAAACCAGCCTGACCAACATGGAAAAACCCCGTCTCTACTAAAAAATACAAAATTGGTTGAGCGTGGTGGCACATGCCTGTATTCCCAGCTACTCCAGAAGCTGAGGCAGGAGAATCGTTTGAACCTGGGAGGCGGAGGTTATAGTGAGCTGAGATCGTGCCATTGCACTCCAGCCTGGGCAACAAGAGCAAAACTCTGTCTCAACAACAACAATAAATAAATAAATAAATAAATAAATAAATAAATAAAATGGTTCCAGTGTGGGACAAAGCCCCATATCTTTAAACTCTTTGCTCCAAGTGTTGGTTTGGTTGGGCCTCAAAGAATACGTGTGTGAGTGTGTGGCAGGCACTGTGGGGTCGAAATTTCCACACATAGCCTCATGTGTGATCCTGGTTCAGAGTAACCCTTGCTGCTATCAGTGGGTCAGAACCCGCATCGGAGAAGCAGCAGCGGAAACACCACGCATTTAGCATCAACTTCAAGTTGATCTGGGAAGTGCCTACCTACCATATTGCTGGGTCCCTGATTACATTTTCTGTTTGGGTAAACAATCAAGAGATGGTATAAAAACTGCACATCCAAGTCTTGTCTGCACAAAACAAAATGACCAATGAACACAATCTGGATTAGAGGAGACTAGAGCCCAGAGGGTGGCTGTGGGCTCCAGATCATCAGCCTGTTAAGAATAACCCTCTCTGGACAGTGGAATGCAGTTTATCAAACACCGACTCTGGGGCCACGTGGATAGAGGGCAAAGAGGGATCAAGTCATTTTTAAACAATTTAGAGTAAAATGTGAGATAATTGATGAAGGGTGGAAATCCCAGATTGCTTCAATCTAATATTTTGCCCAGATTTATTTAGGTAGTTGCATCCACACTTCACAAATTAGCTGTTGGTAGCAGAGACCCTGTATCTAAGAGGCCAAGCTCATTTGTACAAGATGAAAATCCCACTGTGTTGTCCAAGGCCTCTGCCATTAGCCAGCAGATTGGGAGTGTCCAGTGGACCCCGTCACAGAGACTGTGGGCTCACCCTGCCTACGTGTGTTTTGAATTCTAATATCCTAACCTTTGCTGAGAAATCCAGAACAAAAGCAATAGCCCATTGCATAGGAAGGTGGCTTGGATGTTTTGCACTTGGAGAAACTGCAAACTTGAAAAATTATCAGGAAGAAAAAGAAAAATCTTACTGAGCGCAAACCAGACACTTGGCACCCACTCTCTGTGACGCAGGGCTCCCCGACTGGCAGGAAAACCACAGCAAAGAACTGATTATGCTGTTAAAACGCATTCCATGGGCTGTCCAGGGTTATTTTTATTTTACAATAAGGTACAGTATGTTCCATGATGTTCTCTATCCTGGGTATTTTTTCTTCTATTTGCTTACTCATTAATCCCAGCAAGTCACCGAGAATCTATCAATAATTTGAACAAATTAACCAGATTTGGGTGTGTTTATTAACTTCAAGAGCCATACTTATACACATGTACAATTTTCATTCTAAGCGGAACACCAGTGGCTGGTACCACCTGTTTGGACTATGGAAGCCCGAATGGGACACGTACTTAAATGGCGAAGTTTTACAGGAAGACACATTAAACGGCGAAGTTTTAAAGGGCAGAATGAACTATATTTTTTAATCTTTTTTTTTTTTTTTTTTTTACAAAAAAAAAGAGAGAAGTCAATTTTGAAAATAATGTTTGGTCAAGTGTAATTTGGTCAAAAAAAAGTACTAAATCCACGTTAACAAAGCATTCCAGGAACTTTGCCCGTAAGAAAATAAATGTTCCAGTTTTAACTTAGGCTCTATAAAAATTAAAACTGTTTTGGAAGAAGGAATGGCTTCCCTGTAAAATAATGGATATTCAACAACTTAGATGCGTTTTGAGAACAAATTTCCATCCACCTCTAAAAGGAAAACAGACAACTGGGGTAAAATTACTGCTAAAGCCTCCACCATGCGTTAATACTTGAGCTCAAGAACAACTTCCTTGCTAATGCTTAACCTGTTATCTTAACCACTTTTGCTTTTTCAGAACTTCCTAGCTACTTTTTAACCATTTCCAATCAGGAAAACTGGCCAGAGTGCCTTCAAATACAGTCATTAGGCCTCCAAGGACTTGAACTTTGCAAATTCCTCCTTGTTTTCATTCTTTGCAGACTTAGAAAAGTCTAGAGGTCAAGAGGGGTTAGCCACCTGCAACGCCACAGTGGGAGTCTATATTTCTTAATGGACATTAAAAAAAGAAAAGAAAAAACAGGAAAGCAGCAATCACTGTGATAAAATGTGCTGGTACTTGGAGAAATAAAAGTAGAAAGAGGTATAAAGAACCCATCAATGTAAGTAAAAAATATCAAACTATTCATGGAGAAAAAATACACATGCACCCCAAAACTAGAAGCTTTCTAAGAAGCTACAATAAAAACAATGCTCATATACGCAAATTTACACCTCATAAGAAAAGGTAAATATACCACAATTCTTGTTCGAATTTTTTAACGTCAACTTTGCTGACAAGATCAAGAAATTTGAGCCAAACATCTGCATCAATGATAAATTCACGGCAAAAATGTCCTGTTTCCACTGTAGGGCAGTCACAGCAAGCAGACATAAAAGAAATGTTTTCTACTTCACTTAAAGTTGCAATGTGGGTCCAAGCCACCTTCCCCACACTAGGAACGGTAGCGCTTGTATTTTGTTTGTAACTCAAACTTTTACTTTAAGATAAGGTTTGCAGACCTACGATTTCTCCTGTCTTTGGTTTGCTCACTGGCCTGCAAGGATCCTGTGCATCTATGCCGTATCTTGTTCTCTGTGTATTAATAATTCCTATTTAGTTTTTAGAAGGTACCAAATATGTGGCTGAAGTTAAGTGCCTTTTCTGCCTTTTCAGCTACAATGGAAATATTTTTGAAGCTCATCAAGAGAATAAAGGGGAAAAAAGGGAAAAATTAAAAATAAATCAGATCCCAGAAGAGGCTCCTCAGAACCCATGTGCTCAGATTCTCTCTGGGCTGCTAGTACTCAGGAAGGCAGGGTCTTGAGCTGAGATCCGCAATTGGCTACTGAATTTAACATATTTTCTGGCTTCGTGGCTTTGTAACCTTGGGTTGGTCAGACAGCAAACTTGTGAAAACTGAGTAGTGGTCACAAACATCAAAGTTGTAAAGTAAAGGTCAAACCAAAGAGATTTCTTGTTGAATCCTTAGAGGTACGTGTCAACATGCCTTCAGGAATACCTGCCTCACTGAACTATTAAACACAAAAATAGCTGGTTGTGAATGCTTCTGCATCTGCTCCATAGACATATATCTTTCCTCCTTCCTCTAACAGCAAGTCAATAACCACCTTCTACGGCTCAATGGAAAATGGTG